AAAAAAAAAAAAAAAAAGAAGCCAGTACCGGTTGCCACTGAGGCAAGTCCAACTCATTGCAACCCCATGAGTGTCAGCACAGAACTGCGCTGCACTGGGTTGTCAATTAATAAGGTTTCAGAAGTAGTTTGCCATATACTTCTTCTGAGGCACCTCTGGGTGAGTTCAAATCTTCAACCTTTGGTTCGAATTAACCATTAGTCCCACCCAAGGGGTCAAAAAAAAAAGATTCTACTGGTCCATAATTAAGAGAAGGACAGAGTAGATTATCAGAAATCTATATCCCCGTTTTAAAAGAAATATAGTTGTATTATTTTCAAGGTTCTACCGAAAGGCAGGACTAAGAAAGTATTGGCAGTGAGACTTTGTCAGGGGACTCCAACTAAGGAACCACTTTGTGTGGGTGTAAATGGGAAGGTGATGTTCTCGAAGGAGAACTCCCACCTGGCAAAGCAAATTACTGCGAGCAAAGGCAAGCGAAGCCCTCCGGTTCCTTTCAACATGATCACAACGTTCAAATATGAACACGCCAATGTGTAAGATTCTACTGAAATGTCTCTACTCACCTTTCCTTGGCGTCCAAGAAGGCCTTGGCAAAAGGGTTGTACTTGATTTTGAGAGCTGTTATCTTGAGGTAACAAAGAGAAGATCTGTTAGTGAAAGTGGAACGCATGGGCAGAAAAAGTCCTTGGTCTTCACCCGTGAACCTCTGTAAATTCAGATCATTCCTCTCGGCTTTTAAAATGCTTCTTCTTCTCCTTCCTTCTTGCTACACTCCTGCTCTAAACTGCTCTTGCCCCCTCTCTGGCATGTGGTGAGAATGACGGTGTGAGAGAGTACGGTGGGCAAAGAGAGGGCAACGCATTAGGAAAGAGCAAAACTCTGACTCACTAACCCTAGCACTCACTCTTTCATTCATTCATTTTCAACAATCACTGAATGCCCACCCTATATCACTCGTTTTCCTAGCCCCTGGGAACACCGTGGGTAGTGGCACTGCTATAATCTTATCATCGGTTGGGAGTACAATATGCATAATGCAATTCAAAGGTTAGCTCTTAAAATGGCTTATCAAAGTCCACATGCATGAAGTACACCAGCCCGTGTGATCACGAGGTGTCTATGGAAACAGGTATCAGGCATCAGAAGACCCACAACAAAAAACCATATCATTGTGAATGAGGGAGAGTGCAGAGTGGAGACCCAAAGCCCATCTGTAGGCATCCCTTTACAGAAGGGTCACAAAGAAGAGAGAGTCAGAGTCCAGTATAGCACCGATGAAACATACAACTTTCCTCTGGTTCTTTAATGCTTCCTCCGCTCCACCCACTATCATGACCCCCATTCTACTTTACAAATCTGGCTAGACCAGAGCATGTACTTACGTACAGATAAGAGCTGGAAACACAAGGAATCCAGGACAGATAAACCACTCAGGACCAATAATGAGAATAGCGATACCAGGAGGGGAAGTGGAAGGTAGGGGGAAAAGAGGGGAACTGATAACAATTAATCTACATATAACCCCCTCCCAAGGGGTCAGACAACAGAAAAGTGGGTGAAGGGAGACATTGGCCAGTGTGGTATGAAAAAATAACAATAATTTATAAATTATAAAGGGTTCATGAGGGAGGGGGGCAAGGAAGGGGGGAAATGAGGAGCTGATACCAAGGGCTCAAGTAGAAAGAAAATGTCTTGAGAATGATGATGGCAACAAATATATAAATGTGCTTGACACAATGGATGGATGGATGGATTGTGATAAGAGTTGTACGAGCCCCCAATAAAATGACTTAAAAAGAAAAAAGAAACAGAAAACGTCTTATCTATTGGTTAACATATTAAACAAATGCTCCTGTCCACGTCCCTTTTTGTCCCCCTGTGTGGTAGTTGTGGGAGTCTGATGGTGTAGTGGTTACAATTGAAATCTACCAGCCCCTCCAAGGGAGAAAGATGAGCCTATCTACTCTACTCTACTACTCTATCTCGATCTCCTCTACTACTCCATGACTCTACCTCTACTATATCTACTCTACTCTGCTACTCTATCTCTATTATATCTACTCTACTTGCTACTACTCTATCTCTACTATCTCTATCTACTCTACTACTCCACTACTCTATCTATACTATCTCTATCTACTCTACTACTCCACTACTTTATCTCTACTATCTCTATCTACTCTACTACTCCACTACTCTACCTCTACTATATCTACTCTACTCTGCTATTCTCTCTATTATATCTACTCTACTCTGCTACTCTATCTCTGTTATCTCTATCTACTCTACTCCTCTATCTTTACTATATCTACTCTACTCTGCTACTCTATCTCTATTATCTCTATCTACTCTACTACTCTATCTCTATCTACTCTACTACTCTATCTCTACTATCACTATCTACTACTCCACTACTCTCTCTATCTACTCTACTACTCTATCTCTACTATCTCTATCTACTCTACTACTCCACTACTCTATCTCTATCTACTCTACTACTCCACTACTCTATCTTTACTATATTTACTCTAATCTGCTACTCTACTACTCTATCTTTGCTATATTTACTCTACTCTGCTACTCTACTACTCTATCTTTGCTATATCTACTCTACTACTCTATCTCTACTATCCCTGTCTACTCTGCTACTCTATCTACTCTAACCAGTTATAGTCTCAGAAAGCCACAGGTGCAGTTCGACCTGCCTGGTAGGGTCCCTATGAGTTGGAACTGACTTGATGGCAGTGAGTCTGGTTTCGTTTGGGTTGTTGTTGCCAGCTTCCTTTGAGTCCGCCCCTGACCCCTAGGGACCCGATGCACAATGGAGCAAAATGCTGCCCAGTGCCTAGCCAGTCCTGTGGTCAGTTGCAGATGGGATCACCATGGTCCAGAGGGCTCTGACAGGCTGGGAGCCTTGCTTCCTGGTCCATCTTACTTGGAAAACTATGCTGGTCAGTATCATGGCAGCATGCATCATAAGATGCACTAGTTGGAAATTAAATCAGAGTCTCCTGCATAGTAGGTGAGCATTTCACTACTCAGGCACCACTACCTCTTTTCTCTTCTTAGCATGATTCGTTTTGCTTCCATCACTCACTGTCTGAGAGAGAGGTTAGAGACAGGGATACAGACAGAGATAGAGATACTGATAAAAGATCGATTCTGACGCAGAAGGACCCTACAAATAGAACTGCCCATAAGGTTTCCTAGGCTGTCATCTGTACATAAAAGGAGCCCTGGCGGCATAGGGGTTGCATATGCGACTTCGATTCACAAGGTCAGCAGTTTAAAACCACTTCACAGGAGAAAAGGGTTTTCTACTACCATGCAGAGTTACCGTCTCAAGAATCCACAGGGCAGCTCCAGCCTGCCATGTGAGGTCACTGTGAGTTGGCGCTGACTCGGTGGCAGGGAGTTTGGTTTGTAGGGTGGCTTATTCTGTGACAGATTGCCACATATTGCCACATCTTCATCCTCAGGAGCAGCTGGTGGATTCCGGCTGCTGACCTTTCCACTAGAAGTCCAACACTTGGCCATGGTGCCACCAGAGCTACTTAGATTTAGGGGCAATTTATCATCCAGCTGCCCTACTAGGTAGATGAATCTTTCTTCTTGTGGTTGTTTTGTTTTGGGCTTTGTTTCCCAAACCATTTTATTAGGATATAATCCAGACATCATAATATTCCATAGTTCGGTCCTCATAGTGTTGGACAATCGCTATCACAATCACTTTCAAAACATGTTCTTCCTTCTTGGACTCCTTGATATTAGCTCACTATTACTTCGTTGTCTCTTTAGATTCACCCATTCTGGGTTTCTGTACCCAAAACATACAGAAATATGTAACAGAGAATGAAGAAGGCTACCAACAATAACAAAATCCAACAGAGATAAATCCCCATTTGAAGAAAAAAACACAGAAAATATTAAAAAACAGATCAAGCCCAAAGTGTGTGTCAAAAGAGAAATCAAAGGATCAGCGTTTAACCATGCCAGTCAGATGCAGCATTTTCATCTACGCTAGCTGTCTCTGCAACACTCTCTGCAGGGAAACCAGGCTAGTCCCACCCCCAATTATGCTCACAAGAAAATCACCCAATCCCATGGGTAGATCCTGCAAATGTATTTGGGCTTCCACTGTCATCCATAGCCTTTTGCACACCAGAATGTCACAATTTAAGCTCTGATACCATTCCCTCCTTCCTATTTGGATTATGCTATTTACATGGGATATAACTATCTTTAGATCAAGGTCAATGTGCAGTATCTCCAGCACCTAGAACAATACCCACTATGTACTAACTAAAGGTCAAAAATAAACAAACAAAAATTCACTGCCATTGAATAGATGCCAACTCACAGCCACCCTATAGGACAGGACAGAACTGCCCATGTGGGTTCCCTAGACTGTGGCTGTTAATGGGAGTAGAAAGCCCTGTCTTTCTCCTGAGGAGCAGCTGGTGGTTTCAAACTGGTGACCTTGAGGATTGCAGCCCAACCTTAACCACTACACCACCAGGGCTCCTTCCTCATACTAACACGCAACAAATACGTATTGAATAAATGAATATTGAAAAGGATGCTTTTGTTGTCGAGGGCCTGAGGCTTGCTTCTCTACATTGAAAAGTGGGAGTAAAATGAAGACATAATTCTACCCAGCGCACTCGAATTCTATCTTGCAAGACTGGCTAGACCAGAGGAGGTACACTGGTACAGATAGGAACTGAAAATACAGGGAATCCAGGACGGATGAGCCCTATAGGACCAGTGGTGTGAGTGGCAAAACAGGGAGGGTAAAGGGAGAATGGGTAGGAAAGAGGGAACCGATTACATGGAACTGTGTGTGACCTCCTCCCTGGGGGACAGACAACCGAAAAGTGGATGAAGGGAGAAGTCGGACAGAGCAAGATATGACAAAATACCCATTTATAAACTATCAAGGGCTCATGTGGGAGGGGGGAGCGGGGAGGGAGGGGAAAAATGAGGACCTAATGTCGGGGGTTTAAATGGAGAGAAAATGTTTTGAGAAATGATGTACAAATACGCTTTACACAATTGATGTGTGTATGGATTGGGATAACAGTTGTATGAGCCCCTAATAAAATGTTAAAAAAAAAAAATTCTATCCAGCGCCATGGAAATGGAGAAAGGGGAGAAATAGGGCGGTGCAGTGAGGAGAGTCGGGTTCGTGTGGCCTAGCTGACATGCATTCTGTAAAGGATGATCGCTCACTCACTCACTGCCATTGAGTAATTTCTGGCTCATAGAAAACCTATAGAGGAGGGTAGGACTGGCCCCTGTGCGTTTCTGAGACTGTAACTCTTTCCCCGCATAGAAAAGCCACATCTTTCTCTGATGGAGCACCTCATGGTTTCAAACTGCTGACCTTGTGGTTAGCAGCCCAATGTGTGAGCACTATGCCACCAGGGCTCTCAGTGAGGCTAGGAGGGAGCAAAAGGGACATTGTGTTCCACCATAACCTTCCTCGGGTGGCTGCCTCTCAGGGTGTTTCTACATTGACTTGGTAGAGGAAACATTGTTGGCAGAGAAGGCTTTGGGTGGACTTTCCTGAGCTTAGTTCCCATGGGCCTATTCAAGACCCAGAAGGAGCCCTTGCTGGACGGAGGGTCACCGTACTCTGGCAGGGAGAGTTCAGAGGAAACTGCAGCAGGAGCAGCCAGGGAAAGCTCCCAAATTGCTAACCAAGCCCAGAAGCAGATAAAGACTCCCCAGGGCCTCAGACTCAGGGAGCAAGCAGCCCACAGGTAGACACAGACACTCCTAGAACATGGTCTCACTGCCCTTTAGACACTCAGAGACACAAGAGGAAGGAGCAGTTCTCTGAGGAGTTAAGCACTTTATCCCAAAGAGGCAGCACCACCGGCCTGCTACAGGATCTGACAAAGGCTCAGAGGACTGACAGGTGACAGTGGCACTGAAATCTGGGATGTGAGCGCCATCCGCAGCTCTGTTCCCCTGGAGGTGCACAGGCAGGTATATTCACATGTGTGTTTCTATTTGGATGGTCACCAGCATCCTCCGGGAAGTCTTTCAAACAGACACATGGTGGCCATCAGCCCTGGAGACTGTGATTCAGGGCGCTGGCGCAAGCCGACGGTCTTCTTGGGAGCGCTCTCAGATAAAGGAATGCAGCTGAAAGCACTCACAAGACAGCATGTTTGCACCCATGCGATGTGTCCAAGTGAAAAAGGTTGGGAATAACCACGGTGGATAACGAGTGGAGGTTCGAGATGGATGTTCCCTTTGGAAGAAGGCAAATTGTCATTATCTGTCAAAATTCTACACTCACACTCCCTTTAACTGAGAATTACATTGGAAAAGAGTTACCCAAGCAAGCAACCTGTTCTGTGTGGGCCCGCGGCCCGGGTACTCGCTGCAGCAGTATGCCCTACAGTAGAAATGTCAGACAACTGTAAACAAGCCAATGCTGTTATGTGGATGACTGATGGCCTGAAATATAGTTTATCTATGCATTGACTAGTCTCCAGGCATTCAAGAAAAGTAGGTAGGTCTATGCTATTACATAGAAAGATACCCCCAATACAGTGCTCCATTGAAAAAAATAAGACTATTCTATTCAGCGTGAGTCCATTGATATAAAGCAGGCTATAGTCACATGCATATTTATATCTGCACAGAAAAATGGTGGGGGGTGGATACACCTGAAACTATTACTGCAGACTCCCTGGGGAGAAAAACAGTCAAATTTTACCTTTTACTTGTCATTCTGAGTGTATGCTTTTCCACACTATCTGGTTGGTGGTTTTAAAGTAAATATTTATACCTTTAAAAAGTTGTCGTTAAAACAAAACAAAAGTTTAAGCCTAAGGAATCCAGCCCTGGCCAGGTGCGTCTGATGACCAGCAGGCACGGGCTTGCCTCCCATGCGAGGGGACCCAGCAGCCTGCTCCAATTCTGGCTGCTCAGCCCCACCGCCGGAGCGGCCAGTGACGGGACCAGGAAGGAGATGTCACTGCGCTCAGATATTGTGCTCCGCATGGCCAGGGCCCAGTAGGGGTGAAGACAAGGATGCCTGGCTTTCTTTGGGCTGTCAAACCCCATTGAACTTGTTGCCTTCTTTGTACCAGAGAAGGAAGTCCTGGTAGGTCATTGGCCAACTGTTCAACTAATGTCACTTTACTGAATGTAGCCGAATCCTGAAAGCCCACCTTTTACCTGAGCTTGGTGACGGCAATAAAAGCACCCCCCTCTGCCTTGACCCCATGGTGTCGTAGGAGACACACACCACGCACAGCTCACACCATACACATCCCCAGACGATCACCATACTCATACCACCCCACACACATCCATACACACCCACATACCACACATATTCCACACAACACACACTGCACACACATCCTATCCACACAACACACACTGCACACATGTCCCCATACACGCCATATTCGTACCACACCACACACACATCCATACATACACTATACACATACCATACACCACACCAACGCACCAAACACAACCACACAGCACACACTGCATACACTGCAAACAGACATCCTGTACACGCATCCATACATATACCACATGCATCACACATACACCACACACACATACACCACACAAATACCGCATACAGCACACATATATTTGTACACATCACACAGATGTACACACTACATACACTACACGTACGCATACACGTACCACACACATCACACATGCACCATATGCCACACACACACCACACCGCTACACTTACCTCCTCATTCTGATAGGCTGTCACAGCTATGAACTGGGTCTCTGGGAAGGAGCAATTCATCACCATTCGGTGGGACCCTCCAACACGCACTATGTGGACCTGCGGCTCGTATTTATGCAGCGAATTCAACATGATCTGTTGAGGTGGGAACCACAGAGACAGAGAAGGGGAGCAAAGTGCCGCAGGTGCTAGACAAGCCAGCACTCTGGTGCATTCCAAGCTTGGTGCCCAAGGAGGTCAGAGACATCCCCTCCCCACTGGAGCACATTTCCTCTCTGGCATGCAAGAGGGCACCGGGAGCCCGAATCAACTCGACAGCCGTGGAAGGTCTCCCGATACTGACAACAGCTAGACGTCACAGAGGACTATCTGAAGGGCAACAGCGCCCAATATCGGATGCTGATGTATAATCCACACTTTGTGATTCAAATGAAACTCTTGTAGTGAACGCTAGTCAGCAAACATAGTTTACTTCTTGTTTCCATTTCCTATGTTAATAATTTCAAACACTGGAACCTCTGAATGTTACAAAAAGCTGGAGAGCATTTCCTCCACCTCCTAAACCAGGAGCCCCTTTGGCGTTCCCCTGACTGCCCATAGACCGGGGGCACACATTCGCGGGACCACAAGGCTGCCCAGAGCCAGGTGTGCGGCCCTGGGAGGAGAACAAGAGCTGTTCCTCCCAGTGAGGTCTGTAACCCGCAGGTCACAGTCAGTGTTTCATAGTATTCCGCATCTGACTAGAGAAAACACAGGAGGAAAAGCCACCCAGATATGGTTTGTTCCCGTTGAAGACCTGAAATAAAACCTTCCTTATTTAAGGTTGGGTTGGATTTTTTTCCCCTTTCTGACAAGCCAGAGCTGATTCAATATTCTATTGATAATTATCGGAGTGCCTGAGTAGAAGTAGTAATTATTTCATTTAGGAGCCGCTTTTTATTACAGTATTTGTCTATTGCCAACATGCCACTTACGCCAAAAAAAAAAAAAAAGCGGGGAGAGCAGAACAAAGCTCTGGTCCCCACCGACATCTCCTGCCCAGGGCTGGGTAAAACGCACCAGGCACAAGACAAACTATGAAAAGGGCCGTGATAATTAAGTAAACTACCGCGCTCTCTTCCTCCGTCTCTTAACATCAGGAAGTCCATTAAAAACTGAAAGCACCAATTAAGAGCTGTTTATTCCTGTTTACATTTGGACTCCAGGGAATAATTGGCTTCTGTGGGAGAAGAGGTTGGCAAGGACCTCTCTAATTGCCTAAATGCACCCTTGATATGTCTTGATTGGGGTGGTGGGGTGGCTAAGGCAGGTGAATGGGTGACATGCTCATACCTGCCCGCCACCATTGAGCTTGTTGGTCAGCTTGACTTTGCTGAAGGAGATGGGAGCTTTCATCCAGTGGGCCCCAAAGTTGGGGGAGTCCGGGTGAATGTAGACGCAGCTGTGGTTGGAGACCTCGGGCTTGCCAGCGGGCACCCACTCCCCGTTGACGTACTTCCAGCGGTGACCATCCGTTGGGACAAAGTCCAGCAGCAGGGAGTACATAGCATTCGGGTCCAGCCCCGTGACACTGATCTTTAGAACAGGGAACATCCTCCTGAAAGAAAATCAGAGACTTGGCCACAGGGGGGTTAGTGGAGAGCCTCAAAGGCTCCGTGGGAAAAGGACCGCTATTGTTGCCGTCATGGTCATTGCCGTGTTAGCTGTTGTAGAGTTGACCCCTGGTATCCATCCCACACACAACGTAATGAACATTGCTTGCTTCTGCACCATCTCCAATATCGGTTGCACATAACCATAGAGGTTACGTTGCTGCTTTTTGGAAGTGGACCATCGAGCCTTTCTCCCGGGTATGTCTTAGTCTGGTACCACCACGAAAGCCTAATTAGCATCGCAATGACACTGCACACCCCACTGACCGGCAGGTGGTGACTGTGCATCAAATAACACATTGACAGGGAGTGGAGTACAGGTCTCCCACCTGGAAGGGGAGGCGTCTACCCCTGAGCAGCCCCTGACCAGAGGATGCACAGGAGAGGCAGCGTCAACAAAGGCCATATCCTTTGTCCAACTCCACCAGAGAAGCTCTTTCTGAATGTGTGGGATATGAGAGTTTCACTTCAGAACATGCTGCTTCATTTCTAACGTTCGCAAGTGTCTACCATATGGAATAGCTGCCTTCAAGGTACTCAGTGCTCAGGGGCTAATATGAGATCTAAAATTGCCCCTCTCATTCTCACAGGGGATCTGACAGGTCAATGATTCGGCTGGAAACATCCTTCACTCATTCATCCTCATCAAGTCATTGCAAGATCTCAATTTTTAAAAATTCATGTGAAGGATTTGCTCCAATACCTGGCACCTATTTAATGTCCTGCAAGTGTTGGCTATACTGTTCTTTTAGCCAAGCCCTACAGCTGACTCAGATTTCCTGCTGTTCTCAGATCTTACCTTGAGTTTGTGGTCCTGGAAACTGGAAGCAAACAGAATTTCAACTCTGGTTCTTGCCTCCTGTCTTGTTGTCTGGAACCACTTACCTCCGCTTTTCTTTCTGGAGATGAGACGTTTAAGTAGACTAGGTGATTGCTAATAGATATGGAGCTTTCAAGGGAGTGATGAACATGTTCTAGAAGTAGATGATCATGATGCTTGCACAACTTTGTTGTTGTTGTAGGGTGCCATCGAGTCAGTTCTAACTCATGACAACCATATGTACAACAGAACAAAACACTGTTATGCCTGCCCCCCCCCTTCTCTCTCTCTCTCTCACTCACTCACTCACTCTCATTGAGTCAATTCCAGCTCATAACAAACTCGTAGAACCAGACAGAATTGCCCCTGTAAGTTTCTGAAAGTATAACTCTTTGCAGGAGTAGAAAGCCTTGTCTTTCTCTAGAAGGGTGACTGGTGGTTTCAAACTGTTGACCTTGAGGTTGTCAGCCCAATGCCTAACCCCTACACCACCAGGCCTCCCTGGTATCTTCTACTATCCTCCTAATCATTGCTCTGTTTGGGCTCATTGTTGCAGTCACTGTGTGAATCCATCTCACCGAGAGTCTTATCCTTCTTCCTTGAGCCTCTGCTTTCCCGAGCATAATGTCCTTCTCAGAAAACATGTCCAAAATACACGAAACAAGGTTCATCATCTAAGGAACCTTCGAGCTGTACTTCTTCCAAGATAGATTTGTTCATTCCCCAGGGCATATTTAATACTCTTCACCAACACCGTGACTTAAATACATCAATTCTTTGGTTTTCCGTATCCATTTTCTATTTTCGCATGTATATGAAAATACCATTGCTCTGTCAAGCACACCTTTGCCTGAAAGTGATATTTTTTTATTTTTAACGTTTACCTTGAGTTATTTTACAGCAGGTTTTCTCAATTCAGTACACCATTTGATTTCTTGACTTCCCCTTCCACGGGTATTGAATGTGGGGCCAAGGAAAACGAAACCATTGACGACTTCAATTCTTCTCCCTATGTTACTTTAAAGTCAGTTGTGAGGATTTTTGTTTTCTTTATGTTGAAGTGTGGTCCATACTTAAGCCGTTATCTTTCATCCGCACCAGTAAATGTTTCTTTCAGCAAGTAGAGTTGTGTCATCTGCATACCCAAGCATGTTAATGAGTCTCCCTTTAACCCTGATGCCACACTCTTCTTCATATAGTCCAACATCACAGAGCATTTGCTCCACATGCAGATGAAACATAGTAAGAGGTTACAAGCCTGACACACACATCCTGATTCTAAACCATGCCCTATCCCCTTGTTCCATTCAATAACTGTCTCTTAGTCTATGTATACATTTCTCATGAGCACAATAAGTGTTGGAATTCTCATTCTTAGAACGTTACCCATCGTTTGTTATGACCCACACAGTTAAGCATCTTTGCATACAATTAAAGCACAAGTAACCATCTTTCTGGTATTCTCTGCTTTCAGTCAAATGGTATCCCTCATTCTATGTTATCTTCTGGGTCCAACTTGCATTTCTGGTAGTTCCCTGTCAGTATATCAGTGTAACTGTTTATTAATATCTTCAGCAAACTTTTACTTGCATGTGATATTAATGATGGTATTCAATAATTTTCACATTCTGTTGGACTACCTTTCTTTGGAATGGACACAAATGTGGATCTCGTCCAGTCTTTTGAGTGGGCAACTGTCTTCCAACTTTCTTGGCCTAGACAGGTCAGCACTTACAGCACTGGATCTCTCTGCGTTAGCAGCTCTGAAAGCATTCCTAAAACCATTGAAGTTCCACTTAAAGGGGGTTAATTTGCTAGCATGTGATTTATACCCAAGTAACAAAAGTGTCTGGGTAAATTAATAATTCTTAAACTATCTAGTAGCAGCATAAGAGTTATTGATTTGCCTAACCTTGAGGAGCCCTGGTGGCATAATGGGTTATACACTGGGATGCTAACTGCAAGGGCAGCAGTTCAAACAACCAAGCACTCCTGTCCTATATGGTCGCTATAGTCAGAATGGACATAGCTAATCTGGTTTGGGATGCCATCCTAGGGCTCACCAGGTAATGCAAATGGTCCACATGCTTGCCTGCTGACCACAAATGTGATGGTTCCAATTCACCTAGAGAGTTCTCGGACAAAAGGCCTGGCAATCTACTTCCAGAAAATCAGCCGTTGAAACCCCAATGGACCATAGTCCTACTGTGACATACGTGGGCTAAACACGAATTGGAGTGACTCAATAGTTGCTGGTTAACGTGTATTCTCCAGCTGGGTCACTGGCCTCTCGGCTTTGGTTTTGTCCGTGACAAATGGCTACTCTGGCTGCTTCCTCCTTCCCTTGATGCCCAGAATCCCAGTCTCCTCCTAACGTCTGCCTGGGGTCTTCAAGAAGAGAACAATTACTTTAAGTAGTAGGTGAGGATGAGCATAGTAAGTGGAATCATTTTTCTCCCTCCCTCATAAGATGATTTCCCTTTCCTGTTACCAGCTTGAGAAGACAAAGTGCAGTGTCATTAGAACATGTGCGAACACCTGGAGTTAGAAAACCAAAAAGGAAGAGCACATCTCAAGCTGAAAGAAAGAAAGGGAAAAAAATCAAGCAATATATTGATTGGGGTTGTTGTTTGGTGCCATCGAGTTGGTTCTGACCCATAGCAACCCTATGCACAACGGAACAAAACACTGTCTGGTCTTACAGCAGCCTCCCAATTGTTCCTATGCTTGCGCTCATTTACAGACTGAATGAGTGTGGTGAAAGGATACAACCTTGACACACCCCTTTCCTGATTTGAAACCACGCGGCTTGCCCTTGTTCTAGTCACACAATCTGATCGCCTCTTGACCCATGTCCAAGTTCCCCATGAACACAAAGAAGTGTTCTGGAATTCCCATTTTTCTCATGGCTACCTATAATTTGCTATGATCCACACAGTCGAATGCCTTTGTACAGTCAATACAATGCAAGCAAACCTCTTTCTGGTATCCATTGCTTTCAGCCAAGATCCATCTGACATCAGCAATGATGTCACTGGTTCCACAAATGCATTTCAGAGATGAGAATTCTCTCTGCCTTGAGTTTCACTGGCCCAGCAGAGCCCCTGGGAAGCCACTCTTCTGATTGGGCCTTTCTGAAGGCATCCTAGTAAGACTAAGACAAGTGTCTAACTGAGAGAACTTGTCTGTAGCCATCTGCTGATCAGAGCCATGTTTAGAAACACTCTGTTTGGAATAAAGCCATGTGTGCGAAATGGAAACCTCAGAAGCAAACTTTTTTACTTAGCTCATATAGCTAGCTGTTCCTCGGTATAGGTGGGGGGTTGGTTCCAGGACCCCTGTGGATACCAAAATCCCAGGGTGCTCAAGTCCCTCACATGAAAAGGCCTCAGAATTACATGCAGCCTACATGCATCCTCCTGTATGCTTTAAATCATCTCTAGACTACTTTCAATACCTAATAGTATATAAACAGTGCTTTATATTCCTTGTAAGCCTTTGAGGGACTTTTCTGACCATTTGATTGCTTCTCTAGCCTTTCTGCTCATCCCCATAAATATGGAGGGCCAGTTTATATGAAAGTAGATACCTGCTTGAAAATAAGTCATTTAATTCTTCCATAAATTTGCCAAAAGCTATATCAAAACTAGCTATTAAGCAGAAGAATATGACCTGTGGTATATAGAAGCTCTCTAATTCCTCTAAAAATCAACCACCCGTGAGACCAAGCAGGCAATGTGAATGATAAAAGTTAGACATTAGACACCAGGGACATTGCTCCCCTGGAGAAGAGTCACCAATCTGCCTGCGCCTGGCCAGGAATTGGTGTGGAGGATGGGAAGGGGGTATTTGGAGGAGATTTAGTGGGTGTGCAGACCGTAGGAGAATGGGTAAAACAGACACACAGTAGCAGATATTTTAGGAAAGGAAGAAGGAAAAAGAGAAAAAATGAGAGGCATCAAGAAGACAAAAAGAAGATGATATGTCATTACCAATAAAGGGCTGCTAATATTTTGGTCTGAGAAACAACGAGAGTAATTCCACTCAAGCCAAGTCATTATCAGCTACATGACTTTCATATTGATTTGTCTTCCCTTTCTTGCTGATTTAATAAACAATGATGGTGCTGCTAGATAAGTACTGGAGTGGTAACTGCAAGATCAGCAGTTCAAACCCACCAAAAACTCCCAGGAGAAAGATGGGGCTTTCTGCTCCAACAAAGATTTACAACCTCATAAATCCACAGAGGCAGTTCAACGCTGTCCTACAGGGTCACTATGAGGAACAGTTAACCTGATGGCAATGGGTCTGGATTGCAGGGGATGGGGGAGACAAAGTTGTCTTCCTTTCGTTCTCCAAAGTAGAAAGGGAATATTGTAGCTCCAGGAAAATCTGGATCCTAGATGTTGGGAAGCATTAAGAGAATTTAAGAAAAGGATTCAGTTCACAGGGTAATGGGAAATGGCAGCAGAACTAATAAAGATAAGAATGAGCAACTTGGCCAAAATTACAACTCTTCCTATAAATAATATTTTTCACCTATTTAATACAATGGCTTTAAACAAATGAAGAATTTAAAACTTTAAATATGTGTAAAATGTATGTTAATAAAAAATGCAAGAGACCACTCTTCGTAAGTGGTAAAAGTTCATTCCAAGATGACAATATGATTAAATTGGATTTTTAATGGTTTCAGAAACTTATTATTTTTTTCCTGCTGAAGTGAATGTGCTATATTTTACTTGGGTTTTCTAATTATTTTCACTTTAATATATGGTCACTTTGATAGCTATGTAGGTGGAGTGGCATTAAATATTAATATAAGTACTATCCCATAAGTAGAAAAGAATAATAAAGGGAGGAAAATTATCAGACATAGCTAATTTTTACAATTGTATAATTACTCATCCTTGAAAAACTATAACTCAATCTAATTATAAATTTAGGGAGCTGTTTTGAAATTTAAAATATGTCTTTGCAATTGTTGTTTTTGTTTGTTTTTACCAAAGAGGCTAAAAATAGTGTGCAAATACAGGTGCAAATTCTATCCAGGGTAGAACAAGTATAATTACAATTACTAACATTAGAAGTAATCGATTTTCTATATGAAATAAATTGCAGGACTCATTTAGGAGAAGAAAACATGACTGCCCCACGGGCTTGGTAATCATAATGTCTGAGAATGCCCTTTCCCACACACCTCTCACTCACCAAGCACTGTCATGTCATCCAGCACTTGGGGTCATAATGCTCCCAGGTGGACAGGAGAGAGTTCACTTTCCACGCCGTATGCTTTCCTCAATGCAGAAACGCAGGTGTGGGAGCATTTTACAAAAGGACAAAAGCCTGCCCCAAGTTCAGCTGGCCTTGACATTCCTCTAGCAGCGAACAGAATGGCTCTCAAGGGGCAGCATTACCGTGCTGCTGAAATGAACCCTTGTGCCTAAGCCTGGCCACTGTCTGGACTTTTGTGACCCGTGTGTGCTGGGGGATAAGCCAGCTGCTGGGAGTCTGACGGGCCAGGCAAAGAACAGCAAGATTTTCTTTCAAAATATTTGCATGGCTTCTACCCAGGAGGGAAACTAATCTTACTCACCTTGGGAGTGCCTTCGCTGACTAGATGGAACAGAATCAAGAAAGGCCAGCCGAGATCAGCTCCAGTTAATCCCTAATTTGTGGCCCTGAGAAAAAGGAAGGCGCCGCCTCTTCTGTTCGCACAACGTACCAGCTCCGTGACCTGTTGCCGGGGGCTCTCACATCCCCGCAGACACGCACAGTCTCAAAGGAAGACCCGCTGAAACCCCCCAGAAGCAGCAACTACAGGGAGGGGCCATGCGACTCAAGGCGCCCCTTCTCTGCTACCCTCCACTCGCCACGAACGTCAGGTGCGTCTGCCAGACACAAGCACCAACTGGCCGGTTTCCCAACCAAGTTGGCTTTCGCCATCTCTGAACAGAGTTGCGGCTCGGGCCGTTCAGCGGTCGGTCCAAACCACTATTGATTCCCTGACTCATCCCACACCTCTCCAGGACCCATGGGCATGCCCCCGTGGGTAGGAACTCCTCTGCCGGCGCTCTATTTAAAATGCCTGCGAGACAGGTGGCTTTGTGGGATGATCTCGGATAAATTAATTAAGATATCCGGGATAAGCTGCGAGGCCGTCCTTCCCCTGGGAACATTGCACCCCCCAGGCGGCCTCTTCCATCGGCGGGGCGCCTCGCCTCCCTCCCCAATCCTCCGGCCCACCCGGAGTCCAGGGGACACTCACCTGCCGTTCTTGGTCACGATCATTTCATTGGTGACTTCCTTGAACCTCCGCCAGAGAGGGGCATCCTCCAGGACGATATGAAGCTGCTTCTCCGTCGGATCGCCTTTCTCCCTCCCGGCCTGGAGCTCACTCTCCACCACGTGCAGCAGACGGGACACTGCGCTCTGCGGAGAGCCACGCTCACTCATGGTGGTGGGCCCTGGCACTGGCTGGGAGCTGCCACCGCCTTCCTCCCTCGCTTGCGGCCGGCCGGCCGGCCGTTCAACCCCAGCTGGACAGCGCCCGGCGACCAGAGAGAAGGTGCCCCTGGCTCTTGCCTAAGCTCCAAGCGTGACACCCCTTCAAGTCTCCAAATTATACCACCAACCTGTTAAGCTGGAGTTAGGGGGGTGGGGGGGGGGTTAGAGAGAGGAGAGGAGAGGTGGGGAAGAAAAAGGCCTCTCTTAATTACTCATCGGATCAGATGGGAGAGAGCCCAGTCTCCTCATTGGCTGCCGTACCTAGAGTAGACGTTTAAGAAGAGTACTCCATCCAAATTATCAGGCTTTTATCTTGTTGTACCTGAAGAGGTCTAATCGGTGTATGGAGGACCATTTTCCCATTAATTAAAATTGTTCCAGGCCCGAACTGCAACAATCAGGCAAATCGTGTTCGTGGATAAATCAGGGCTTGTGGCACCTATAGAGACGGAGGGCCCGGAGAGACGCGGCAAACTTGATGCCCACCCAGACGGACCTGATACAGCTGGGAAGCCAAAGCCTCCCACTCTTCCCCAGCGAGGCCCTGCAGAGAAGCACGCAGGCATGAGACGTCAAAGGCGCTGTGCCAACAGTATGACAGCGGACCCGAGACTGCAGGAAGATTCTCTGTGTGGCCAGGGCTCAGAGGAAACAAAATAGCTAAAGACCCTTCCTTCCCTTCTGGCAATCTCACTCCTCAGGGAGTCTGCCACAGGCTGACAGCCTACCAGTCCTATGAGCCATGATCTAAAATCAGTAGAGCTCCAAACTAGTCCTTCTTCCTTAGAGCCTAATACCTCTGGGGTTATTATTATTAGTATTATTTCCAGTACTTATCAGAGGGAGAAAAATCCAACTGGCATCAGATTAAGCTAAGAATGAGCTGTGCACCCACAGCAAAGCAAATCTATAAGGCATTTTCCCTTTAGACAACCCAAGGTCTGTCTGTTCTGGCACACACTACTTACTCAAAAACTTTGCTTTTTACCTAAAGCACACAGCACTGACGTGAGACAAAGCAGGAGCAGAGGGAACTCTCTGGTCTCCACCACGAACAGATCCTGAAGTGGACATGAGGGTGAGTTTGTCCTTTATTACAACAGAAAGTCAGAAAATCAGGACTAAGGGAACCAGACACAAAAATCAGGTCAAAGCCAGGGGGGAAATGACACATAAAATGTCCTCTCCCATCTTCATCCAGTGCCTGTGGTGATGGTCAGGGGGTGTCACACCAATTCCAACTCAGAGTGACCTCGTGTGACTGAGCAGAGGTGCTCGCTAAGATCATTTGGATGTAGTGACCTTACAGAAGCAGATCTCCAAGTCTTCTTCCGGGGAGCCACCAGGTGGATTGGAACCACCAACCTTTGAGTGAACGGCCAAGCACCTAATCATTTTACCAATCAGCCAGTGCGTGCTAAGTGCTGAATACTTATAAGGCACCATGTGTTGTGATCAACAGCCTGGCAGAGAAGATGAGTGAATATAAACTAAGGAGCCCCTAAAGAATTATCAGTAGTGTTGAGTGCTAAAAAGACTATGTAAGCAGGTAATGTGGTGAAGAAAAACTTATCAGATCCTCATTCGATTTCATCCTAATTAAAGATAGTATGGGAAGACGTCTCAGAGGAAAAGATATTTTACCTGAGACCGAAAAAGGGTGACAAAGAGGAAAGCGTCGAAGGAAGAGTTTCACTCTAAGGGAGTAGAAAGCCTGTCTTTCTCCCCAAGAACAGCTGGTCGTTTCCAAGGCTGCCCTTGTCAATCACAGCCCAACTCGTATCCACTACATCACCAAGGTCCCTTGGTAAAGTAAAAGGCCAGTGAAAATGAAGAAATCACTCCCGGAGATGAACAGACACGACACGGGGGCTCCAACAATGAGCTAAACAATTGGGAAGGCGACCCCAGACTGAGTCGTTTCCTTCTGTTATACGCAGGGTTGCGACGAGTCGGAACTGACCCAATAAACCCCTCACAGCCACAACTTGCTTTAATTTACCTTGCTCTTCTTTTTCCATTACCTAAAAGTGGAAAGCAACATTAATGATTTGAGATTTTGTTTCTTTTTAATATGTGTGGATATAGCTATACATTTCCCTCTAAACACTGAGAAGAGAAGAAAGAGTTTCAGTCAGAGGAGCTACATGGGCAAACTTTGGTGACCAGGTTACTCTGCCAGCTGTGAAGGTGGAGAAAAGAGAGTCAAGCTAAGCAACATAGGGAAAGTCTAGAATTTTGGAACAGCAAGAAAACAGATTCTCCTCTACAGTCGTCAAAAGGAATGTTGCCCGGTTGACGCCTTGATTTAGCACAGTAAAATCGACTTCCGTTTTCTGACCTCCAAAACAATAAGATAATAAATGTTTTCTGTTTTAAGCTGTTCATTTTGTGGTAATTGGTCACAGCAGCAGTCGAAAAGGATGAAACATCTAAGTGGGGATTCAAGAAGGCACTGCTTAGAATGTGGCCACAATCGTAGCTTTGAGCTTCCTAGCAACCCATTTTTATTTGAGAATAAAAATAAGATGCAAACAGGGAAAATATAATCTGTCATAATTTTGAGTGGGCTCTTAAAACAAGCCATTTGCTCAATGGAAGCTTTGCTTCTCCTACTGCTTAAACCTGAGAGAAATTTTTCCTTTGAACCTTTAAAGGTGATTCATTGAATTGTGTTAGGATCCTTGCCCCTATACTTATGAATGCTATTACTGCATGCCATCAAATCAACTCCAATGTTGATGTAATGTAATTGTCTTCATCTAATATAATGTAATCATGTTTCAGTGAAGGCTGATGGCATGTAGTCCCCTTCCATAATTCAATATGATTCAATATAATCAATCAGTTGAGATCATACCAGTGTTGGGTGGGTTTTTAATAACTCCTAAGAAAACCAGGCTAGGCACAGATGCATATGCAGAAGGGGAATACAGAGGCCTTGTGAAGCTCATCCACAAGCCACAGAACTAAGAAATGCAAAAGACTATCTACATGGAAGCAACTGACATGTTCAAGACCCTGGTTTGAATGTTCAGCCTCTAAAACAGAAAAAAACTACTAATTGTTATCCTTTAAGGCCACCCACTTATGGTATTTCTGTTACACCAACATCAGGGGTCTAAGATGATAAAGGAAACACTGTGTGGCCAAGTGAACAATGTTCTCCGAAATAGTTCATAAATACAAGCAAGATGTGGATCTTCACAATCAACGAGTGTTACAATCCTGGAAGGGGGGGGGGCACCAATAGGAGAGAAGTGAAGGAAATAATCCTGTTTGCTCTTTTTCTTTCTTCTTTCTTTTGACCATTCTTATCTAAAGCACCGGGTTCCTGATAGCCAGCTTAACTTATGAATCTCTTCAGCCAGTGGAGGCTGGAAAAAATGACTGAGAACAACACATGCAATAAATAAACTTACCTTCCAGCAATAAAAATGGTTTACTCTCTACATTTGGGCTCTTGTCTGCCCAAGGCAATGACTTACTCTCTATCCATTGTCTATATTACCTTTAATAGATTGAACCAGATGACATTGCTGATATCCAGCCCTCTTTTACCTACAAAAACAGCAACTTCATGCAGTTCCACTTAATAGTTCTGAAACTAATACCAATAATATAAAATATTTTGACTAATGTATCTATATAATTATATTGTTTTTCCTTTGGATAACTGGTGTGAGACTAAAATAATGACACATTCATCCCTACAAAGTTCCAAAAAAGTTTATCTCCAACTCCTTCTCAAAAGTTACTAGAGCGTTGGACAGGGCAAGATATGACAAAATAATAATTTATAAATTGTCAAGGGCTCATGAGGGAGGAGGGAGGGGGAAGGGAGGGGAAAATGAGGACCTAATGCTGGGGCTTAGGTGGAGAGCAAATGTTTTGAGAATGATGAGGGCAATGAATGTACAAATGTGCTTTACACAATTGATGTATGTATGGACTGTGATAAGAGTTGTATGAGCCCCCAATAAAATGATAAATAAAAAAGTCACTAGAGAACGTGCTTTAGGGAAATAAGAAAGCAAACCTAATGGCTTAGTCATCTAGGGCTGCTGTAACAAGAATACCACAGTGTGGTGGCTTGAGCTAACATACATTGATTTTCTCACGGTTTGGGAGGCTACAAATTGGAATCCTGGTCTCTGGCTCCAGGGAAAAGCTTTTACTTCTCTCTGGGCTCTCTGGGGAGGTCCTTGTCATCTCCCTTCCCCTGGGCCTAGGAGTTTCTCAGCTCAAGAACCCCAGTTGCAAATAAAGGGCTTGCTCCACTCTGAGCTCTTCCTGCTTGATGGTTATGTTCCACTGACCTCTGCTCACTTGTTCGATCTCTTTTCCATCCCAAAAGAGATTGACTCAAGATACAATCTAATCCTACAGTCTGGGTGCTGCTTCATTAACACCAGATAGGTTAGAATTTACAACCAACAGCATAATTATACCAAGAGTGAGATAGTTAAGGTTTATTGTGCCAACCTGGTGGATAAACAGGTGGGGCTAACTGAAGGGCAGAGAGATAAATGGCTCGGTGAACCTCGCCTTTCTAGTTCTTGGGTCTCTTGCTTTCTGATGGTCAGACCAGGGTACAGCTGCCTTAGCCTGTTCCCTGCTTCAGCTGGCAAGGCTCACTTCCTGCAAGACATCCCTGACGAGAAGCCACATGGATCTACCTCAATTGCTCTGGGTGCTGGAGCAGCCATATGGAGACCCCTACCAGTGGTGAGATGCTTACAAGCTCACTGATACGGCTTTCCTCCTGCAGTCGGTGTCATTGCGTGTGTTTTGTGAGATGGAGGATGACTTTGTAGATCAGTGTCAGATGGGCTAATGTTGGGCTTATGGGCTTGGGCAGCACTGGGTTGGGGTGCTTTCTTAATGTACACTTACCCTTTATATAAAATTCTGTCTTATACATATGAGTTTTTGTGGATTTGTTTCTC